TTGCAGAAACGTTTGAAGGGTAATAAACACGATAGCTTCCATTTGGTGTGAAAATATGCTTTTATATTTGTCTTTAGACATCATCTGTCCATCAAAGCTCACAGTTTTCCTCATTAAAAAAGCTTCACTCTTGCAAAACTGTTTGTATCCTAAAACAGATAATGTCTGTAAACAAGAATCCTTGCACATTTTTGCACAGAGTAGAGGCTATTGTTATATAGGATTAAACAACAAAATGATTACATTTTACACATTCCATTTTGGAATCACTTGTGATATTTGCATTCTTATTGCAGCTATCAGTGGTGTGATATATTCACAAATTGCACCATTTTATGCTCTAAATCACATCTTTTTCCCAGTCAATGAGACAGCTTTACTTAAACACAACAACCAATTAAATTTCAAGGCTTGATTAAAAAAGAGGTCTATCAGATCACAAGAATATGAGAGACAACAACTTTTTACAAATCAGCACTGACTAAAAACAAAGTTGTTTTGAAGGCTTGAATTTTGCGATTCAAAATAATGTAATAAAGTGGTAATTGAACTTTGTCTTGTGCAATTTTGTTCTGAAATCATTCTAAAATCTTGTGATTCCAAAATTCAATCAAAGTTGTGCTGTGTGCTGCTCGTTCAATTTTGAAAACCATGCATGCTGTATGATTTCAGACCAAATTGCACTCCACTTAGTTCAATTATGTAGAATCAACTGGCCCTCCTATCTGTGCTGTCTCAATATCATCTATTTGTGTAGTTGTACTGCATTATATAATGAAATCAAATAAAAAGTTATACAATGTTTAGTATACATGTATCTACATACATGTAAGGGGAGCTTATATCCAGCTGTTGCTGTTACCACTTGTTAAATTGTCAATGAGGCAGCTGTGTGTTGCAGACTACAAGTGACTTCTAAAGACTTTTTCAATAGAGCATGCATGCAAGTAATCTTTGTGATAGGAAATGGATGAAATATAGAAATAAACTTGTAATCAGTATGCAGGTACTAGATCATAAAGAAACAATGCAAGTTAAAACCAGCATACCCGTAACGCATCTGTATATTGCTCCTCCTGCTTGTAATCTTTAAGTTGATGACAAAGGTGTATCACTTGGTGAAGAAGCTTGATCATTTCTTCAAATGTGTAGTGAAGTGTATCACTTTCAGTTTCCAGGTCACAGTCCTTTTGAAGTTCTTCTTTGGTGGCATTGTACCTACCCTCGTAGAACCAAAGCTGTTCTTTTTGCAATTTATACTTGTCATTCTCATCACTGACAAGATCCATCAAGACATCAATGATGTCCTTGTTAGAATCATTAAAAGCAAATCTTGGAGACTTTTTCTTTTCTATCCAAAAGTGTTCACAAAACTTCAAAGCATCTTTTTGAAATTTTTGTTTCTCTTCTCTGTTCTCCAAATAGTCACACATGTTCTCCACACCAGTGATAATTTTTCGCCACACCTCACTATGGTTCCCAACATCAAGTGACTTCTCCATCTCCCATGCTTCAAGGTAGAGTTTCAAGGCTCCCTCATAATCTTGCAAGTAGGCCTGAAGGTTAGCTCGCTGGAAAATGCTGCGCACCGTAAGTGGGTGATTCTTTAGAAGATTCTTCCTAATGTTGTAAGCACGCATTGCTGGTTCGGCTGCTTCTGAATATTTCCCCTGCCAGAAAAGAGCATTGGCAAGTTCTCTGCAAAAGTGTGCTTCATCCCCAAAACCTGAAAGATTGAGTTCTTCTAGAAGCCTCAATGCATCTCTGTAATATTCAACTGCCTTGTCATACTTTTGGAGACCCTCATATGCTGTGCCAATTTGGTGCTTGTACATTGGCATATCAAAGTGATACTGAGAGCCAGCCAAATTCTCTTGCATATTATAGGCTTTTTCATAGAACTCAAGTGCTTCCATTGGCTGGTTAAGGCGGGAGTAACAATTTCCAATAGCATTGTAGCACCTTGCCAAATCTGTATGCTCTTTTAGCAGCTCCTCTGAGAATGTCAAGGACAACTGCAAGCTTTCAAGAGCTTTCTTGTAATCAATGTTCCTCCAAAGAATTTCACCTTCAGTATGCAAGTAAAGGGCTTTAGTGAGCTTGAAAATGTCAGTGGATTGATCTTCAACTTTCTCCATTGAACTCAAAGCTTCCTTCAGTATCTCAAATGCTTTCTCTGTTCCATGAATGTCTAAAACTTGCCTGGCTTCCCAGCACTTCAACTGTGTTCTACCAAGAGAACCTATTACATAAAAATCTTATTGAGAATTGCATTCAGTCTTAATGATTAGAATACTTTTCAATCGAGTGTTGTAAAACCAAAACCAAAGTAATTACGATGGCCAGTCAGAAGAAAGGAAAAAACCTTTGAAAGCCATGAGAATTCAAACTAAAACCAACCAATGTAGCTGCTAATTTAATATCTCCTTCCAAATTAGTCATGAGAATTTTCTGTTATCTGACAATATAACAACTTCTATCTCATAAGTTTTTATATCCTTATTACCTGTATGCTTGAACATGTATTGATATTATGGGGAGATAATAGTTACATGTTTATCATCAGTGGGAGTTAAAGGGTTAATGTTTCATTTGCTTTTTTAGTTTGTTTCTTGTGTTTACCTTTGCTTTATGAGTCCAATTGCATCTTAGATACTTCTTATTCTAAACAAAGAATTCTGTCATCGGCATTAATCTCTGTCTAAACCATACATAGTGATGTAAATAGCTCTGATAATTAACAGATTATTAATGTTCTAAAATTAATGACCTTCATATTGGGATTAGAAAAATGATTGAAAACCAAAAAAAAGAGAACAAATACTCTTAAATTACAACAAAAAAATTAAATACCAACTATTTCCCCCCAGATGGTAAGAATTGATCTAGTTGCCTTTTTAGAAACGATTTCATTAACAAATCTGGTAAGCAGCAGAGAGCAATATTGTATTTTATCCTGATACTATCACTTTACATTTACAGTTTGACCACTTCATCTCAGTGCTGCCTCCTGTGTCTCATGTGTTTACGTACAGCTATGGTACTGGTTATAAGCTCAGAGTTTTATAGTCACTAAAATTGATAAATTGTAACCAAAATATTAAAATAAATTTAATAACTCTGGAATAAAACATCTCACTTCCAATAGCATCAAATTATACTGCACTGAAGCCCTTGAATAAAGAAAAGTCTTGGGAACCAAATGGCACTGATAGCTCTAGCTAGTTTGTAGGCCATTTTGAATGTTGAATTGATGGAAGTATCTTCGTTATGTTGAAGTTGTGATTTTTTTTGATATGAAATAATTCTTAATATTCACATACACAAGCATTTATATGTATCCGCAAGTAAGAAATCACTTTTTCAATCATAGCAAATTTAAAATAGAACCTTGATTTGTTGATGTAGCCCTGATCATTGCACCACCACTAATACTTATTCTTTAGTGATACATGTATGCTTCTCCCCCACAAACATTTTTTTTGTGTCTAATAAAAACCTAAAGAAGCACATGGTACCACTATGAATGCTTACTTCAAATGGTAGTCGAAAGTTTTAATTTTTAACTCAAATGGGGTACATGAGTGTACCATTCAAGTCATTATTAATAACTTCCGCAACTTAGAAGGACAAAACCTACCCACTCATTCTAATCTTTGACTCTGCAAGATGTATTACATACACATTTAATTTGTTCAAGAAATACAAGTCAGTAAAATGTTACTCTTAGTGTCAGCTCTCTTGGAAGGTTAAACATTTTAAGTTACTCTGAGTTTTTTTTTTTTTTAATTTATTTTTGAGTTTTTTTAACATTGAATCTAGAATATGTTATTCAGTTATGAGGTAACAGGATTTACTGGCTAAAGGAAGGACTAGGCTTTAAGTTAACCCTTTACCTACATGAGTAATGAAGACATAATTTCTCCTCATAATATCAATACAATATCAAGGAGACAAGCAATGGGCTAAACAACAATATCAATTAGGGGATTATTAGTTGATCCAATACCAAATTTTTCAAACTAACATCACAAGAACTATGAGTGACTGGCACCTAATTTTCCCTTAAGTGTTACCCTTGTGTATCCCCTAAAGCTCTTGATTGTGAAAAAAATTCTCCTACTCAGCACCTCAGGAAATGTTTAGAGAAAAGTATGGAGAATATACATACTGATGTTAGGGTGTGAAGGGTTAACCTTTAATTCCCACAAGTGATTAATATGAAACTTCTCCCTATAATATCCATAATACAATATTTAGCAAACAAGTAATAAGAATATTTAAACTTATCAGGTAGAAGCTGCTATCTTGATCTATAACCAAGTTCTCATAACTAATTTGCACAAAAATGTGTAGCAGCTAGAGGAGCTAGAGAATTAACAATCAGATCTTGGGAGTTAAGGGTTAAAGCATGAATCATATCTGTCAGAAAAATAGGATTATGAATTGTTGTTACTTTATTTATAAAGCTGAGATACTTCATTCCACTTTTAGGAGTGGAAATAAGCTTCCAATTGGTAATTTTACCCATGTCGATGAGCTCCTGATATGACTCTTGATAAAATGTCTCCTGGACAACATAAGAATCATAAGTCAATTTCTTCCAATTAAATATGATATAACAGACAAGCATTAGAACAGTCAGAGCCATTATGACCCTTACCTGATTTTCCATCATCTTCACACATCTCAGCCCAGGAA